ATTAATTATATTTTAAAACTACATTCTAACAGTCATAGGAGAGCGTTGTTTTCATTATTATAGTAAAATAAAAAAAAATTTACACTTGATCTTAGCCAAAAGGCCGAGAAGCGATAAAAAAAAAAAAAAAATTAAAGTGTACAGTTCAGTAGTGTTAAGTATATCCACATTGTGCAACCGGTCTCCAAAACTCTTTTTGTCTTGCAAAACTGAAACTTTATACCCCAAACAACTCTCCTCTACCCCCAAACCCTGGCAACCACTTTTCTACTTTCTGTCACTATGAATTTGACTACTCTAGATACCTCATGTAAGTGGAATCATTCAGTTCTTGCCTTTTTGTGAATGGCTTATTTCACTCAGGGTAATATCCTCAAGGTTCATCCGTGTTGTGGCACATGAAAGGATCTCCTTCCTTTTTAAGGCTGAAGAACATTCCATTGCATGTATATTTGAAATTTTGTTGATTCATTCATTCATTGATGGACATTTGGATTGTTTCCACCTTTGATTATTGTGAATAATGCTGGTATGACCAAGAAGGTACAAATATCTCTTTCAGACCCTGCTTTCAGTTTTTTTTTTTTTTATCTAACATCTTTTTTTTTTTTTTAAAGATTTTATTTATTTATTTGAGAGAGAGAGAATGAGAGAGAGAACACGAGAGGGGGGAGGGTCAGAGGGAGAAGCAGACTCCCCGCTGAGCAGGGAGCCTGATGTGGGGCTCGATCCTGGGACTCCAGGATCATGACCTGAGCCGAAGGCAGTCGCTTAACCAACTGAGCCACCCAGGCGCCCCCTGCTTTCAGTTTTTTAGATTTATACCCCAAAGTGGGATTGTTGAATCAAATGGAGAATTTTTCAATCTATTTTTAGTTTTTCACAGAGTATAGGAGATCTTTTATTGAAATCATTGTCTAGAAAGTTTGGGCTTTTCAGAGCTTTTTACAAATAACTAGGTAGATGTTTTTGTAATATTTATTTGGAAATTTGATTATAAAATGAAGGTAGAGTGTACGAATGAATCCTACGTCTGGGCATGGTCCCTTCTTTTTGCCACAAATCTCTGCACTAGTTTGCAGTTTTAGAATGAGAGGCTATTGTAGGTTACATTTAATTTATTTTAGTTCTTGCTAAATAAACATCACTCAGCTTTTCCATGCTTCTTTTCTAACCTGCTGGTAAAGGCATGAGCTCCACATACTAATGAAATGTAATATTAATCCCTTCTGGCTAATCTTTGTACTCATTCTTCCTTTTTTGTGTGTTTGAATCTACTTCCAATGTCATTTAAATTTCAGTTTCCTAAAAACTGTTCAGAGCTTACTATCAGTTTCGTTGTGTTCTATATGTACATATTAGGTCTGTTTACATTATGATAAACTTGCCACATTTGTATATGGTTTATGCTTTGAGTATCTTAAAGTCTGTAATAAATCAGCATCATCATTATCAAAATATATTTATTACATGTGTAATTGTGCATGACATTGCATTCAGGTTCCAGATATGAACTGTGTCCATGTTGTAACTCAAGAAGAAACTGCTTTTTCTTTTTTTTGTTTTTATAAATCATTGACTTTGGTGTTCTTTTTTCTCATGGAGCTTACTGGCAAAACACCAATGGACTTATCCACTTTTTTAAAACATTTTATTTATTTATTTGAGAGAGATAGCGCACAAGCAGAGGGGAGGGGCAGAGGGAGAAGTAGACTCCCTGCCAAGCAGAGAGCCCAATGTGGGACTCGATCCCAGGACCCTGGGATCATGGCCTGAGCTAAAGGCAGACGCTTAACTGACTGAGCCACCCAGGTGCCCGACTTACCCATTTTTTAGCTTCAATCAGATTTATTTCTATCTATTCTGTAGATTAATTTATGAAGTAATTGATATAGCTGGAGAAAATGTTACATAAATGACATAATTAAAAGAACTCAAACTTTCATTTGTGCTCACCATCATTACTCTTGTGTAGATGTAGTTGAAGAAGTGTAATTATAATTAACACCAATAGATTCATTGTGCTCGCATTGCAATTAGATCTAATGCAGTTAAACTGAAAAATGTAAAGATCATTGAGGTCATTAATAAGATATCTAGGAGTGTTGTTGTATGAGGATAATGCATTTCTAAATATCCTAAATTCATATATATGAGGTACATTTTATTTTCTAGACAGTTGAACAACTGTTGGCATTTACTTTGTGAAAATACAGTATAAGTTTCTGTTGAGTTACCCCTAACACAAAATGCATGATATTTAATAAATAATTAATAATTCATAAATAGGTACCAGTAGAATTAATCTTAAAACTGGCCATTTTTGTGCATTTTATCCATGAAATATTTACTTTATCATTTAAAATATTTAAACCTCTAATTTTTTACTAAGTAACCAGCGAATATGCAGGTACTTTAAATTAAAATTTAAAGAGCTCTATTATATTAAAAGAACAGAGTGAATTTTATGTACAGGGAAATATCCATTATCCTATTTCTTTTTAACCACTGAAGAAATACAATTTTTTTGGTTTCGTTTTTGGTAGTGTCTCTCTTGTTTACGTCCTTGTTAATATAGTAATTTTTGAAAGCCATTATCTCCTCAAAATAGTGATTAAAAAACCCTTTCTAATTAGCCTATTTTTTATTCTAGTATGGCTTATAATATAAACCAATTTTATTTTTCTTAGGTGACCTATGAAAAGCAGCTTCTTTATTGTGTATTCTCACTTCCTTTCTTCTTCTGATTCATTCTTTCCCTTTTCTTCCAAAATGATTCCTGAGTCAGGAGCAGTTCATTCTGTGCCACTCAGGCAGGTGAGGAGAGCTTGCTGAGAGCTTTTGCTCTTTTCTACAGTTTGTCACTAGTTCAGTGTTGCTTATTCTTTTATCAAGTCTATATCTGGAGAGTTTGGGATATTATTTTATGTGTCCCCTTGACCGAAGAAAGGCCTTTGGCCATCTGGAAATGTTCTTATATTTATAGAGAACTCTGATTTTGAAAGGAGTATATTAAAAGCTGAGAGAAGACAGCATATAATATAGCTGGTCAGATTGGCCTTGTCATCCCTGGTGACTAAGTTACTAGTGTCACTGCTTGCTCTCCCAGGCCACCTCTCTATTTAAACAGCTGTTGTCTTAAAAATATTCTTTAAAAATGAGATACTTTTTATAGTGAACATTTTCCCATTCTTTCCCCAAATTCCACACACAAAGAGAATACATTTTTAGGAAAAAAACAAGATTTGTATATCAAACCCAATGAGTACCTACTGACGGTATAATTTAAAATTATAACCTTCACTTCCCCACTTCTCATACTTCTCATCTTGTTTCACTTTATATTTTTCCATAGAATTTATTGGTTGCTAATATTTTATGATTTCATCATTTATCCTGTTTGTTATCCCTTTACTCTCTACCCATCAGTAGCATGTAAGGTCCAGGAGGGTGAGGCTCTTTGTTATTTTGCTAAAGGATGCACACCAAGCAGTGACGAGAGTGCCTAGCATAGAATTGGCACTGAATATTTGTTGAAGGAGTGAATGAATCCTGATTTGTGGTTGGGAAAAGGGAAGCAGCAAATGTAGTAATTAGTTCTGATCTAATCTGTCCTTCAAACTCTGTTGTTTTCTATTTGTCTTTATGCTATCTAATTTGAAGATTATCATTTGTAATGTATTGACAAATCATGAAATGGATTCTTCAAGGGGCGCCTGCGTGGCTCAGTCATTAAGCGTCTGCCTTCGGCCCAGGGTCCTGGGGTCAAGCCCCGCATCGGGTTTCCTCCTCCACGGGAAGCCTGCTTCTCCCTCTCCCACTCCCTCTGCTTGTGTTCCCTCTCTCGCTGGCAAAAAATAAATTAAAAAAAAAAAAAGAATGAAAGAAATAGATTCTTGAACCAACTGTACCAGCAGTTTCATCCATTCAGGTCATGGTTCCATGGAATGAATGTACTCTCTGACATTCATTTTTTTTAAAATAAAGAATTCCATAAATTAGTGAATTATATGTTGAATGTGAGTTGACAAGATGTGATACTTTTAGATGCCTGTGTTTTCTAGCTTTAAATATCTAATAAGTAGTTAACTTCTTAAGAGTTTGGGGCTAATACCCATTTTCTGTGGGAAAAAAGTAAGAATTTTATTTAGAAATTGTTTTATAATTTGAAAACAATTTGTAAATTTTGGTTTGTTGTTTTTAGAAGTTTGGAGCCAAAACATAGGTCCATGAACATGAAGTTCTTCATAAAGTTTTATAGTACTGCACTTTTTTTTGCAATTAGTTGCTTAAGGAAAGAGATTGAGTTCTTGCAGGTTATATGGGTTAAGAGGAGTGTGTTGGGGTAAATGGGGTCAACTGAACAGCCATATTACCTTGAGAAACGAATAGCCAGTGCTGATTCTACATACAGTAGTCTATCTACTGCTATGCTGACTATGGGTAAAGAATTTCATAGACTAGGAAGTATGTCATTTTAAATTATCAAATTTTCCTTTAAAAAGAGATTTAAAACTTTAAACAGTGCAATATTTATCAACAGAATTTGAATCAAGCTTCTCTGTGAATAAGATAACAGTTTTGTTGATGAACTATCAGCAATTTTTATGTTTCAGAACAAATTATACATTGCTTATAGAATATCTGGTCCAGATTTTTAATGGTAATTTTGTTTGGATTTTTTTAAACTCTTTTTTCCAAAGGATTACTACTTGCATTCTAATTTTTTTTTTAAAGGCAGTTGATTCTGTTGATTGTGATGCATGTGGATGCACTGTTCCATAGATTTTTGTATCTCTCTCTGTCTACCAGAAAAATAGGCCCTTTATTCATGGGTGGTATAGATATTGCCATGCACACTCACAAGAAAAGCTCTCATTTGGTGTAACTTATTATATGACCCTGTCAGTACCATGGCACTGAGAACACATAATGCTCTTTCTACAAAAATTGTTTTATCTATTGATTAGATATATCTTCCCATATTTTTATTGTTGCAGATTGAAAGACATGACAACTGTGCCTATGACTATCTAGAAGTTCGAGATGGAACCAGTGAAAATAGCCCTTTGATAGGGCGTTTCTGTGGTTATGATAAACCTGAAGATATCAGATCTACCTCCAATACCTTGTGGATGAAATTTGTTTCTGATGGAACTGTGAACAAGGCAGGGTTTGCTGCCAACTTCTTTAAAGGTAATTTGAAGTAATTTAAAGTGTGAGATTTTCTTTGTTAGGGATAAATGTGATATTTAACATTAAGTTAAGAGAGAACTACAATAAAGTTATACTGGAAGTGAAGAATGCACTGTGCATAAAGGATATTTGAATGATTTTTGATGGTAAAAGGTTATTGGTAAAATACTGGAATTTGGAACATTGTAGCACAGGGTAAGAATTCCATTAGGATATCCTACCATCCATTTTTATGAAATACTCAAAAAGGCAAAATGCAGAAAGGGAATTTAGACAGGGAGAAAACATTTGGAATGTAATAAATATAAGATTCGTAACCAGAAGAAGTGATTCATCAATTTATTTCTAGGTGACAGCATTTCTAAACCACCTTATAGAGAATAATGTTCCACCACATTGGAAATAATGTATGGCCTCCTTAGCAGAATATTCTGATACCTAAAATGCCTTTTTGACAAAGAATTATTATTGATCAGCTTTAATTTTAAATTACAGAACCAAATTTTAGTATATTTTCATGTCCCATATTTGGTGTGCATTACTAAGGTAAAAAGAACTATTTTACTTATTTATTTTTAAAGGTTTTTTTTTATTTATTTGAGAGAGAGAGAGAGAGTGGAGGGAAAAGAGTGAGAGTCTCAAGCAGACTCCATGCTGAGCATGGAAGCCAATGCAAGGCTCGATCTCAGGACCTTTAACCAACTGCACCACACAGGCACCCCAAAAGAAAGCCATTTTAGTACAAATAACATCAAATTTGCATTTAGAAAATTCATAGGCACTTAACATTAAGTGTGTCATTGTAAAATAAGACTATGGACTCTGAGAAACAAACTGAGGGTTCTAGAGGGGAGGCCGGTGGGGGGATGGGTTAGCCTGGTGATGTGTATTAAAGAGGGCATGTTCTGCGTGGAGCACTGGGTGTTATGCACAAACAATGAATCATGGAACACTACATCAAAAACTAATGATGTAATGTATGGTGATTAACATAACATAATAAAAAAACCTCTTTATGGGGAGAGAAAACAAAATTTTCTCTACACTGATTTTTATAGAATAAATGATGGATTTAGTTGTGTATGTCAAAATTTACTGTGATTAATAGCCCAACACTTTCGTTATTTAAAGAACAGTATAATGGGTTTCCCTGAGAATTACTTAGGTATTCACCATATGATTTGAAAGGCAGAGAACCCTGGTATTTTTACTAGATGCATTCAAAGTATTTATTAAAATATACATCTACATGCATTAGTTCTGTAGTATTTTATAGTAGAAGAAACATACCATCAAGCGTCCCCTCTGTGATGCTTATATATTTGGTTATCAAAAATGTTTGGAGATTGGCCAGTGCAGAATTTCTCCAGAGAATATTGTTTGCTATTTTCTTAACTCACACTAGGTTATTCCTGGGGATTGAGATTAGGGAATACATTGTCATATATGTTGTTTTAATAGCATATATTTTTCATATATACTTTTTATGTTTCCACATATAATAAAATAGTGTGTGTATTTACAAAATATGGAATTTTTATATTTCCTGGATCAAGATGTCTATATAAAAAATGCCGGATACTTTAAATTTAAAGAGGTCCAGTGGGTTTCAGAATTTTCTTTCCATTTATATTCACCATAAGCTGTTTCTTAATAATGGCATTTCTTTAAAAGCATTTTTCAGGATATCTAGCAAACTATACTATGAAATCAACAAGTGAAGCTGTTTATTCAATAAGTTTTTCTATTTTATTCTGGACATTCTCTATGTCGTAAGGATTCCCTTGACCTTAAAATTAGAAAAAAAAGAAACCTCACATACCTGTCAGAGATAAGATGATCTTCAGTTGGCATTGCTATTAAGTTTTTGGTCCTTCTGGTTCTTATACAATTCTTAGATTGAAGTGACGTGAATTCTTGTATTCCATCTATCAAGGGCTTGCAAATCAATCGTTCCTGCTCCTTTGTTGAAGAAATCAGTTGTCTTCGTTTCATCCAGAGTTATTAAGTGTCATATTTTCAGAAAATTTTACACCTTAGTATGTAAAACACAATACTCTATCTGGTTGTTCTCTACCCCTCGTGCCATCTTTGTAGAGGAAGATGAGTGTGCCAAACCTGACCGTGGAGGCTGTGAGCAGCGATGTCTGAACACACTGGGCAGTTATCAGTGTGTGTGTGAGCCCGGCTATGAGCTGGGACCTGACAAGAGGAGCTGTGAAGGTAGGGTCGCATCTGCACATGGAGCTCCCTGCATGAACCTGCACCCCACCCCCACCCCCACCCCCAATGCCCCATTCTTCTTTCTTTAATACCTGTCATTCTCCTTCCCTCTGCCTGCCTCTGTCCTTTCCTTTCCTCTACAGTAACCTCTTTCCTCAACTGATAAGACTCAGTTTGTAGTCATAGTTAACATGAAACCTTGCCTGGGTGCTTGTTATAGAATCAGTCATTTCCTCCTCCGGTTACCAGGCCACCTTGTTTATTATATCTATATTTGTATGCATTTCTCCCCCCTTTTGCTCTCTCTATAATCTATATCATCTCTCTATATATTTGTATTTTTATCTCTGTCTAGATCTAGATTTTTACCCATCCATCCATCATTTATTTTTACCTTTTCTTAGCCTAGGTTATGGGTACGCCTCCCTTACTAAAGTACAGAATCCTGAATCTGAATTGCTTTTGTACCTCTACCTTCTAGCACAAACATAAAGCAGGAGTTAAATGTGTTTTATTAATAAATGATTCATAAACAAAGAGATTTTGCTATGTTTTCTCCATTTCCTCTGCACGTTCTAAGATGGTATTTCTTGCACGTTTTGTTACCATGTCTTATGAACTCTTCCTTTAGAATTTAAAGCTGCTTCTTTTTTTCCCCCTCAGTTCCCCTGCTCCACTCTATTACGGGCCCCATACTTAAGTTACAATATAAATGGACTGATCTTCCTTCCTCTGTTCTATTCCTCCTTTGTTCATAACTCTCTCAACATGTCTGCCAAAATCATCTTCATAGAACTTGTAGCAGTTTAACATTACTTATAGTTACGTATTTATTAAGTTTACTTTTGGTGGTTCCCACAAAAATGTAAATGTAAGCTCCCCGAAAATGAGCACCTTGTTCTCTACTTTATCTGTAATACAGGACATAATGGTGGAAAAGGTGGCAGACTTATTTGCTTAATGAATAAATGCCATACCCTTAACTGACCTAAATAAAAAAGTCAGAGACTCTATGTTTCTTCTTAAAAGTTTAAACTTTTCTCTTTGGCAAAAGTCTCCATTATATCTATTAAGCTACTAATCTGCTCTCTGTACTAGAATAAAATAGCCACAGTTATGAAGGCAATGTAGTATCTTTATAACAGAGAACATTGTATATTTGTTATTTGACAATAACAAAGTAGCATGATGATTCGTTCTGTGCAGTGCCTGAAAATAATTATTTTACTTTATAATAATTCATCAAAAAGCGGCAAATGTAAAAGTACAGGTCATTTTTACAATACATTTATAAATACAGTAATGTACATACATATATACATACACACACACACACATACATGCACATATATATATACACAAAAGCAATTAAAATTAAGAGACCAGTTACTTTAGGTAACTCTTGACTCCCTAGGAATTAATTACAAACCTTGTACAATATAGGTTCTCTTTCCTTAACTTGCTTTGGATACCCTTATTTTGCTAATTTCATTAACAATAAGGAAGAGAAGTAACATTTTAAATAGTACCCCTTTTAAATAGATCATTCAAAAGGGAAAGAAAACAGTTGTTAAATGGAGTTTTCAAAAAATAAAATGACCTATTTACTCTAGTTTATTTTGCTTACTAGCTCAGGTAACTCCAAGAGTTGCTTATCTTGGGGAGCAAGAATTTGAAGAAATAAGCAGTTAATTTTGGTCTCACTACATTGGACTATATTGTGCTTTATGCTTACCTTTCCATTAATTCTCATAACAACCATATGGTGTAGATATTATTATACCCATTTAAAAGATAAGACAACTGACACCCGGTTTTCTTTATATTGCTTCTCCAACTTTAAAGTGATCTGAAATGTTACAACCATAATTTGCTTAGGTCCAAAGCTACGAATTAACACCTTATGAATGGGATTAGATAATTAAAATAGTTGTACTAAAAACTAAGGAACAGTGACTGCAGCTTTCTAGATTTTGAAAAATTTGGAAGATGGTTGAAATTCAATGCTGAGATATTTGGTTATCAATGGAAAGGTGCTAAGAAGGGGATGACTCTATCAGGGGAAAACCTTGTCACTTTCTTTCCTTCTAGCGGCTTGTGGCGGACTTCTTACCAAGCTTAATGGCACCATAACCACTCCAGGCTGGCCCAAGGAGTATCCTCCTAATAAAAACTGTGTGTGGCAGGTGGTTGCACCAACCCAATACAGAATTTCTATGAAGTTTGAGTTTTTTGAGTTGGAGGGCAATGAAGTAAGTGAATAATAAATACAATCTTTTCTATTGTGTTTTGGGAAGACTGGTAAATGGAAGGAAGGGAGGAAGGAAGGATGGAAGGAAGGAAGGGAGGGAGGAAGGAAGGAAAGAAGGATTGATTTCAGTAGCACAATCATATAGATGTTACAGTCTTTCTTTGCTGTACTGTTCATTTCTACAACTGCTTGTAATTCCTGTTGGCATTGGATGATATTTTAGACTATTTCTGGGAGATTGAAAATTATCCAGAAGGAGTTTTACTTAGTGTATTAATATACAGCAATTTCTTGATTTATGAAAGAACTATGAAAAAATTAGGGTCAGCTTCATGTCACATAGACTTTTCTAAAAAAAAAATCAATTAGTCTGTCAAAATTCAAAATCCACTGGTTGAGTCATAACAAAAATAGCCACTTAGGAGAAACCTGGTATATTTTTAATCTCAACAAAGATGCATTTAATTGACACTATCTTTCCTTTATAAAATATAACTTATTGTAATGAAGGTCCAGTTTTCTGTCAGGTGACCACATTTAAACAAGTGAAATCATTTATTTGAAAATTCCTATGTGCTAGTGCACACACACAATTCAAATGGAATGTCAAGCCTAGAAATGAGAACTTTCAGAACTGTGTCCTTTGTATGATTGGTCGACATTGGCTTAATTTCAGTTTTGTTTGAACTTTCCTACTTTCTTTTCTTTTCTTATTCTAATTTCCATATCCTTTCTTCCAATGACTTTTGTGCTTATTTTAAAATGAACATGATTTAAAACTTCGGAGTATGATAAAATTAACTCAAAAATTATTTTGTCTCTGATATATATCTGTTGAACACTTGTAAAAAAGTGAAAAAACAGAAATATATCTATGCTCCTGAACAATAATTGTTGGTAATATTTGTGAATTTTATACCATCATGTTGTGTTTGTATATGTATCTTTGCTTCTTTTCCCCCCTCCTACTTTTCTTTACCTCTTTTTAATGACTTTTTTTTCTCTTAATTCTATCATAGTCAAGGCACTTACGTGCATTTTTTTTTAGTGCTACTAATGGCTTTGAGGTAAAAAGAAATTGCTGACTTTTGTGTTTCCTTAAAGAAAATTAAAGTCTAAAATGTGATGAACTTATGTATTTCAGAGAATTATACAATATTAGAGCTCAGTGGACCTTTTGAGATCCTCCTTACATCATGTGTTAAGTTTTATGATGGCAAAAACTGCAATTTATATTTCTAACATACTTTGTCCACATGAAACATCATTTTCCTTTAATAATTACCTGAAATTTAGAGAAATATTGAAATGAAGAAAATATTTTTATAGCATTTTTAGAAAAGTTTTCATAGGAGCAACCTTTTTTGAATATGGTAATCTTCCTACCAGTTCTGTGATCTGACATGAACTTGGTGTTGAATGACTTCTACTCTCTCCATTTTCCCTAAAACAATCAGCTGTGACTGATATGAGATTTTGATTCATTAGTTGATAGATGTTACTAGGAAGGCTGGAAGTTTATATTCAGGAGGAAGGAGGGTAGATGGTTTTAAATAAGTGGGTCATTGTATTCTGAAAGCATTTTCCCATGGTGGTGGTCTTTTTTCCTGGGAGGATCCTTGACAAACTCTCTAACATATCCCAAGTTTCTTAAACTTAGAATGATATTACTATATGAAAGGCTTTTACAAAATTCTGTGTATTTTTGTGGTTTGATGTCTTAGTTACTTAAAATAAAGGCATGAGCAAAAACTTGATTTATAGATTACTGGGTTCAGTTAAAACTTCATTGTTTTGGTTATTATATTGATATCCAAAAAGAAAGATGACGTCAAACAACGTTAACCTCAGTAACATTCTCCTACCCTATGTCAGAGCTCTCTCTAAACAGATGTTGCAGCTGTAACAAAGTGGATAGAAGACCTTTTAAAAATTTTTCCTAACAACATTTTGCTTATTTATCACCTAATTAATATCACAAGAACCAGTAATTTGAGTTGACATATTGCAAAGTACAGATCATGCCCCAGGGTTCAATCATATGCATTGTTAAACCTTGCTAATTACACATTTATGTAATAAGGTCATTCATGCAAGATGTATTCTTTAGAATGTACTCTTTTGGAACTTTAGAAAAATGTATTATGGAAACATTTGTTAGAGGTGTAAAATTGCTGAAGAATACATGGCATTCACTTAGATTCTTCCATTTTGGTGTTGTTAGTGCATTACATATAAACCAGAATGAGTCTACTTCATTGTAGTGTGAATTCCCCTCTCCATTCCACCACATAGAGTTTTTATTTGTTTGCAATCCTGCAGCATAGCTCCAGAGTAATTTTATAGCGCCTGGCAGCTCCAAGAAATTAAGAAATATCTATTTGCTTGATAAATATGAAAGGCAAAGTATCCTTTTTACTGTATCCTCCAGTGTCTGTCTCCTTTGAAATTTCCTAAGGGTGCTCTTCTGTTTAGAACATAGTATTTCTGGAAGGCAGCACCAGACCAAGCCAAACTCCATGCTATTTTCACTGAACTGCCCCATATGATAAGTATAATTTTGGACTAGTTATTTAGAAATTTCTGAACCTCAGTTTTCTCATCTTTACCATGGAAAAGAATGTTTCCATTGTTAATGGTTGTTTCATAGACTAAATGTATCAATTTCATGTCACTATTGTCAGCATTAAATAAGACAGTACATGACAAGTTCTTTCACAGTTCCTAGTGAAAATTTAAACAGTTTTTTTTTAAAGTCAGCAAATACTGTTCTTGTAACCATCAGCACCATCATCTCAACAAATATGCATCTCAGTTCTCCTAAACTCTGTTTTTTTGGAAAAGATATATGCTGTAAATACATGTAAACAAGCACACATTGGTATATACATCTCTTGGAGATATTCAGAGCAAAATTCTCTAATCTGTTTTTCATGCCATATGCCTCATATTTGGACTCTTTCCCTGATTTTTTTTTCTTTACCTATTAATTCCAGTTTGACTACCAGAGGAATAAAGAGGGAAAAAACATGATGAATTTTTCAAAAATAAATGTCAATCATCTGATACTTTAAAATCTGGTGGCTCTCATAACCATGTCTTTTCTAGGTTTGCAAATACGATTACGTGGAGATTTGGAGTGGTCTTTCCTCTGAGTCTAAGTTGCATGGCAAATTTTGTGGCGCTGAAGTGCCTGATGTGATCACATCTCAGTTCAACAATATGAGAATTGAATTCAGATCTGACAATACTGTATCCAAGAAGGGCTTCAAGGCACATTTCTTCTCAGGTATCAGTATTCACATGCTGCATGTGCGTATCGTGGCCTTTGAAGGTGGATTGTCTTTCATTGTTATCTACTCTTCATAGTTTTCTGTAAATATAACTTGGAGGGACATAGAATGCATGCACATTTATCCTAGGTCTAACAATACTTTTACTTATAATTAGAATATTAATAATTGGGGACCTGATGAAATATAGCTGTCAAACACTTAATAAAAACAAATATTATAAAGGCTAGTGCAAATAACACAAAATTATTACAATAATATTTTCATACAGTGACTTATAAGTGTATTGGGATAATGATACCAGACTTCCAAAAAGTGGCAGCCTGTTTCAAAATGATTTATCTTTTTTTCTGGAATACCTGATCTGATTTTAGCAACATATTTTTTTATTCTTATTATCTAGCAAATATTTCTTATTCCTCTTATGATTATATTTTCATTTATTGATAAGCTGATATTAAAATCATTCTTTGCCTCATCACTATAGAAAGGATTATAGTATGAAAACTACATATATGGAAATTACAATTCTACTAAAAATAATAGATTATCAGGTACGCTAAGCAATTGACACTTCTGTTTGGAATTTAATATTTAGTTTAACCAACTCATAGTAAAATTTCCCTTGGCTAGAGCGGAAATTCGATAAAATGTCCCCCTAATTTAAAGAAATACATGAAAACACCAGTGAAATTCCTTTATTTTCCTAATTTTGGAATCAGACCTTACTTATAAAGATATTATTCTGAAACTTCAAAACCAGACAAAATTACAATAAACCTTAGTATAGCAATCTGCCTTTCAGACTGGCAGGCAATTTAAAGCAACTGAATTCCAATTATATTTTAATATTAGGTAATTTGGATTGAGTTAATTCAAAGTCCATTTATTCCAATCCCCATGTGTTTAAAATTAATGAGATTTACAGTGCCCAGGGTTTGTTTGGGGTTTTCAAAGTAATTGAAGTTAATGGTTCACAAGCTCCATTGAGGTCCAAGTCATACACAGAAGGACATTCAAAATACAAGGGATCTTGGCTCTCTTATTCTCCTTGCCTTCCTTCCCCCAGGTTTAATTGCCTTTTAAAAATTCTTCTCAGGCATTAATTTAAGACGTATTCAAAGTAGCATTTTAATATCCTATTTTGATGAAAGCAAGACATTCTTAGACTTCACTATTTTATAAATATCATGTGTTTTACAGATTTTAGGTGACTTAGTGGTTAGAGATAAAGGTTTTTATTTTAGAACCACCTAAATATTTTTTTTAAAAATTGAAATTATAAAGTGAATAAATCTTATCATAATATTAATAATATTATCAATCCTTTTACTTTATCATAGTCATACCTTTTATTTAATATTTACTTTTTTAAAAAGATACATGCTACATACATAGTGGCAAAGTATGATTAAATTTAAAGCTACCCAGAATATATAAAATTCACTATCTGATATTATTGGTTAGGAAAAACTTTCCAAATTGTAAAGATAGATTGTGTCTTTAGAATGATACTATTGAAATATAAAGCATGCTACTTTAATTCTTACAATATAGATATGAAGGCACATAAAGAAGATGCTGTTCTCCAGCACATCCAAGTACATAGTCTATAATAATTCTCATTATTATATTCACTTGACAGATGAAGCAGCTGAGGAGTTAAGTAAACTGCTTAGTGTCATAAAGCGTTTAAACCCCCAGTTTGTCTTGGTTTATCTAAGAGCTGATCATGCCCTTTGCAAATAGCATGTTAAGTGTTACACTGAACGTATTTGTGACCTGAAAAACAACAGATATACTTTTCACTTCTTTATTAGATTAATATATTTTTTAAAGATTTTATTTATTTATTTGACAGAGAGAGAGAGAGAGACAGCAAGAGAGGGAACACAAGCAGGGGGAGCTGGAGAGGGAGAAGCAGGCTCCTTGCTGAGCAGGGAACCCGATGTAGGGCTCGATCCCAGGACCCTGGGATCACGACCTGAGCCGAAGGCAGAGGCTTAACTCACTGAGTCATCCAGGCGTCCCTAAATTAATACTTTGTAAAGTCCAAGATAATTAGCATTAAGTGTAAACTTCAAGGAGTTTCTTTCTGGTGCATTGAAAAATATCAGCAGTTTGTCAGATTCATATTTAAAATACTGTGGTTCTGGATGAGTATTAAATTAATTTTACATTTAATTTCCTAGGAGTTTCTGTTAGTGTGGGGAAGATGTTTGCTCAGGAAAGGGAAGATAAAAACATTATAATATAGAGCTATCAAGAGATGACAACAGGGGCGCCTGGGTGGCTCAGATGGTTAAGCATCTGCCTTTGGCTCAGGTCATGATCCCAGGGTCCTGGGATCGAGTCCCGTATCGGGCTCCCTGCTCCTTGGGAGCCTGCTTCTCTCTCTGCTTCTCTCTCTCTCTCTCTCCCTCTGTCTCCCATGAATAAACAAATAAAATCTTAAAAAAAAAAGAGAGATGACAACAAATTCAGACTTAGTTTACCTGATGTCCTTATGGTCATCATACAAAATTATAATTACAAAAGATCACTTATTTTATTTTTTAAGATTTTATTTATTTATTTGATAGAGGGAGAGATAGCGAGAGCAGGAACACAAGCAGGGGGAGTGGGAGAGGGGGAAGCAGGCCTCCCGCTGAGCGGGAAGCCCAATGTGGGACTCGATCCCAGGACCCTGGGATCATGACCTGAGCCGAAGGCAGACGCTTAACCACTGAGCCACCCAGGCGCCCAGAAAGATCACTTATTTCAATAGATAGGCTCTATTCACATTGAAAATGTTATTTTAGAGATCTAATAATGCTTTAAGGATAATAATATATAATCATGTGTTCAAAGTCAAATAATTCATTATATTTATTAGAATGTAGACGTGTAAACCATGGGGATATTGTATTTCACAAACAAAATTAAAGGATTTTTTTGTTTGTTAAAATTTACTCCTGGGGAATTTGACAAAATACATTATTCGGTTTATTATGACAAACTCTTTAGAAAGAAATTTAGCACAGGAATTAAGAGTCATTACAATGACTATTCTAGTTGCTTCAGAAATCTTATTCTTGAGACACATTTATAAAGAAATGTTTCAAAAGCTGGAAGAAGGATTTCAATATACTATTATAGTGATAGAAATTTGAAACAACCTGATGGTATGACAGGGGGAAAATGGTAAATAAATTAGAACAAACACTTTGTGGACTTTTCTACACCATAAAGATGGTTTAATGATTTTGTGATGTAAAAAGTTGTATATGATAAAATATTAATGGAAGTCTAGGTATGGAACTATCTGCACACTGTGCATACAGCTAAGCATGTGGTGAGAACAAACCTGAAATTTGCTATATAAAAATACCAAGAATGTGTGCTAAGGTAGGAAGATGGTACTTTATAGTTTTTATCCAATTTCTCTCAGTTTTCAATTTAAATACAAAAATAACTTTAATTCATGAATTAATTTTTGAGAGAGAGTGTGTGAGCGGGTATGCATGGATAGAAGGAAAAGGGAGAGAGAGAATCTTAAGCAGGCTCCACACTCAGTGCAGAGCCTGACACAGGGCTCCATCTCAAGACCCTGAGATCAGGACCTGAGCTGAAATCAAGAGTCGGACTCTTAACCAACTGAGCCACCCAGGTGCGTCTAAAATAACTTTAGAAGAAAAACACATATCATATTTCTGTTACCCCAAATATTTCTAGATTTTTAAACATTTCCTAATAGACTTTGATCTTTGAGAGTGAAGAAACTTTTAAAGTTATCTCTTTTATTAATTAGTTAATAAATATTAATAGAGGTTAATAATCTTAACTCAAGTATTTTGTGTTGAGTTAAATTTAATAATTTTAACTTTATAGTTATTTAATAAGATTATCTTATTATAGACAGTTGAATAAATGTGTTACTGTAGTGTGTTTGTTAATCAAGTGATACCTTATGAAGACTGAGTCTTAAATGCTTCTGTTTGTAATCTGTGTTCTAAAGATTTCAGAAGTGGTTGTGAATTTATGAAAACATGATAAGGAATATAAGATGTTCAGCTATTTTTTCCACAGTCTTGTGCCAGGAACAATTACCAAGGATTCAATAAAAAGAAGAACTAATATTTGATAATAGGTGATTCTATATTATTTGGAAAGGAAAGTTATTAAAAAATAATTCTAACTTTCTTGCAGCACAGTGATACATCAAGAAAAAAGACACATGAAAAAATATTTAGATTTTTTGGGGGCTCCTGGGTGGCTCATTTGGTTAAGCGACTGCCTTCGGCTCAGGTCATGATCTTGGCGTCCTGGGATGGAGTCCCGCATCGGGCTCCCAGCTCAGCGGGGAGTCTGCTTCTCCCTCTGACCCTCCCCTCCATGTGCTTTCTCTCTCTCTCTCATTCTCTTTCTCTCAAAATAAATAAATAAAATCTTTAAAAAAAGAAAATATATTTAGATTTTAATGTGTACAGTGAAATAAAAGATTTATAGCATCATTTCCAAATATAAATATTTAATAAAATAATCAAATATAGATTCTAGTTATTTTTGTACATACCTTTTCATTTTAAATAAGCACTTTATAGACCTAAGAAATGGGATCAGAAGAATGACTCTTGGGTGTCAAATTCTGTCACTTCCGTATTTATAAAAAAATAAGAACCATCATAATAAATTCTGATTTAAAATCTTAACAATAACAAAAAAATAAAATCTTAACAATAACATAATAAAATCTTTCATTAGACATGAAAAATGCTATAGCTTGAACATTTAGAAGTTATTGTATTATACAACAGGAAGTCCACAAGGCCCACTAAAAAAATCAAAGTGTTGTATACTGTACTGATTTTAGGATATATTTAAAAAACAATATAATGAAGTAATATGAAAGCAAATAAGGAAATTAGGATAATCAAAGTAAAGCTATTTAGACATGATATAAAATTGTGTATCTGTTCAGTTTTTTAGCTACATTGGAAACAACGTAAGCATTTTCTAGAAGATAGTCTGGTCCAACAATATATTACTGTTATGTTTTTGAACTGAATGAAGTTTGTTTTTCTGTTAACACTAATCACTTACTTTACATAATAGTAAAACCAAACAATTTTGTATGATTGTGGATTTGAACACAAATATGCAAACCTGCACAGGTATATGTGATATAACTTATTTATTTTAAGTGGTTAAGCAAGGTTAACGGTATTCTACTCAGAACAAAGTATTTTTATTTAAACAGGCCAAAATTAAAGGAAATATTAGTAGGATTTTGTGCATGTAAAAATGGCAAGATTTGTCAAACTTGTTTTTTTAAAAATTTAATTCTAGCATTCATTATTTGAAAAAAATATAACACATGACTTTAACAATGAGAGTTGAACATTCTCTCCTCCTTAAACGACCGTGGATTGGTAAGAATTAAATTAGAGTGAATATTAGAGAATTTGGAGAATAAACCTCATTTAAGAGCAGTGTCTCTCACAGATCTGGTACTGGAGGACTTAGTGACTTGCTCAGTGGTAAAAATGGAATAAAACCCACCTTACCTGACTCCCAGTTTATTTCTGTCTGTAACAAATGTAGGAGTCAGATAAAATGATCTGTGCGATTTTTCTCCCTCAAATTGACATGATTTCAGCAGACATGCTCTTCATCTGAACCGTCTTTCATTGTGTACAGTTCTTTCCTTACATCATTCCTCCTGTACACCATCTCTCTAATGGAATGCTTGTAGATATTGTTAGAAGAAATCCAGCCCCATATTATCCTAAGAAAACTGTAAATGTTAATGTGATTAGTTTCAAATAATTAAACAAAACTTTCCTATGATTTTGACAAGTTTTCATTATTAATGATTTTGAAATATTTCCATGTTTTGGAAAGAGCAAATTGTCTTTGTTGTAGCTCTCAAAGGAGTTTATTAGTACTGTTTTTTTCCCCAAGTTTTTATTTAAATTCCAGTTAGTTAACATACAGTGTAATATTAGTTTATTGGTGCTGTTTTGAAGATGATTATTTATTGTTAGGTTTGTGTTGAAAATTGCATGTGCCACGTATATGCACACACACGCATGGGAGTGTATGTGTGTATGCATGCAGGAGTGTGAATGGGTCTATTTTATCTTTTGCCATTTCTTGTGAGTATATCTGTCGTATATGTTTCTTGTCTGGTGCATGGACCCTTTACTTTCTTTTTCCTACAGACAAAGAAGCTTTCTGCAAAGAAAAAATTTTTATTTTTGAATCTTGCAAGAATTTGATACAGGTTGCCTCTTCAGTTCCATCCAGTATGTATTATGCATAGACTGATGGCTTCTGATAGTCTCAGAGAGACTCTGCAGGCCTCTGATGGGAAAATGCCACCTCCTTCTTTCCTAATAATGGATCTTTCCTTTATCTAACATGAAGCAATGGAAAGCAGATAAGTCCATTCCAAAGAAGGAGGCTAATTTCCATCTGCAGAAAATAAATGTTTTACTTCTACTCAGCAAAACATTTGTTTCTCTCACTAATAAAAACTATTCTTAAACTTTTGTGCCTATAGTATGAAAATACTGGAAAATTTCAAATGAGTTATTGATAGAATTCTCAAATATTAAATTTATTATGCAAACAGTCTAAGAAATAGTTAAAACTGTATCATCCTCTGTTCTCTCTTTTGGATTTTCATTGTTCAAGGTATCTGTAGTTTGTATGTCCTAAGAGGAAAAAGGGAAAGAAAATGAAAACATAAACATGTTTGCGAATAGCTCTTTTCTCTAGTTTGATGACTTTCATTCATAAGATGTCCTGAATATAATTGTGGACTTTGTCTCTTATGATGTTGCTATTTCTCATCAACAGATCATCAGAAATCAATTCACTTTAAATAGAATAGTTTATTTACTTCTATTAAAACAAGTATCTAAAAAAATAAAATAAATATTTTTAAAATAACCACACTGTATTCACTACTCCCTAGATGACTTAAAATATTAATTGAAATAAATAGCTTTCTTTGTCTGCATGATGTAAATTGTGTGCATAATTTTAAGTATTCCAATGTTTACTGAAATTTTCTCTTCTCATATGATTATTTGACACATGGAGGCACAGTTTTACATGTTACTTTGCTGGGTATGATAGCTTTCCTCTGCTGCTTTTAGTTGCTGTTTGCACTAGTCCAGTTTTGAATTTTAGATAAACTCTAGATTAATATATGTATAGAATATACATATTCTAGTAGTGTATTGTGATTACTCTTAATTTTCATGTGACATTGATTATGTTAGGCACCATCAGATGTGGAGATGAAGTCAGGAAACACCAGTCAAGGGGGGAAATAGTACTGTGGATACTTGGACAATCATTATTTTTCTCCTACCCTTCTTTTTCCTCTAAAGATTATCTTAAAATTATCAATTATTTTTCCCAAACAACATAAATATGAATTATTAGCTACAAAAAAACTACTATGTAATGTAATCAATTTCACTTTCAACTTTATTTCTCTTTAGTTACCATTACCACAGCTATTGTGGTAATATTATGTTCTAATATTATTCTATCATAATACATTCTGCCAAATCTAAAGAAAATAATTCTTCCTAGAAATATAACCTAGTGGCTTGAGAGTGCCACTAGAATGAAGTTTAAATGTTAGAAATATTTTATGTACTGGAATTGCCTTGATTATAAAATAACTATGGACTTAAAAATGCATGAATAATAACGTGTTCATGTTTGTATTTTAACATTTTTATATTGCTCATGAATGGCAATCCTAACAGGTCCAGAAACAGGTCCAGATAAAAGGATGATTTCCGGCAGTCCCTGCCACCATTGGTTCACTGAGCACTTAATCTGTTTACTAGTCAATTGCAAATGTGAACTCATTTTCTATAAACTAAATGGCTTATAGTTGTTAGATTTCCAGTGAATTCTCAAAAGTCTGGTTGACCTATAGTACAACTAGAGTTCAGTCTCTCAGGTGTTATTTTAAGATCATCAAACATTCATTATATAAACATTTTCATAGGAAATATGTAACTATTTCAGTGTAAGTAATTCTGGCACCAGAAATTTTAAATTGGTTATTTCCATTTAACAAAGAAAGTGTATTTCTACATCCGCTCATGAAGATATATTTTTTTCTGAAGCATCTCAACTAAAGTGTCTCTGGAAAGTTACATTAATAAATTTAATTAATTAATTAATTAATTAAAATCATTTACTGCTTGACTGAATTGGAAAATACAAGTGGCTGACTCCATCAGGGTAAGAAGTTATGACCTACCATCCACCCGTTTTGCATAAGTCATCCATAACTCATAAACTGTAATTTTCACTGTTGACATAATTAAGGGAACAGGGCTTTGCAATGATTATAAATCACCCTAAAATTAATTTTACAAGGCTAATTCTGTATTCTGATTTCTTAAACATGTTGATGTTCTTTTAGAGAACGGTTTTCTTTATTCTGCTTTTATTGTGCTTAAGCTACATAGTAAATAATAAAAGTGAAGTGGAGGTGTTAAAGATAGATAGAGAACGCATAAATCATAGATGTATCGATTCTGATATATTCTTTTGAACTTTAGGACTGCCTGTATGCATTTGGAGTATTCTGATATTGCCAATACATGAATATATCCCAGAAGCATGTGTGTGCTATGTCGTGTAATCAGTCTCCAAAAATGGGAAAACAGATGTGTCCTTAAAAATTACTATCAGATTCTTCTATAAAAATGCTTTTCCTAAACCCATTTCCATAGAGTGAATATTGATTTGATAAAAAGGCAAAACTAGCTTTAGCTATCTGTGTGCCTCTGTGAGCTCACAAATTGTCACTTGAAAAATCAGTTGACAGTATAAATTTTTGAATTCAGCCAACCTCTGATATGACTGTCATGTGTCCTTTTTGTTCTCTATGCTGTGAGAGTGATGAAAGTCTGAGTGATGTGTCATCATCTATGTGTGTCAGGAGCAATCTGCCAGTTTTGACTTTAATGGACAAGCCAGCCATGGAATGACAGCTGAGTGACATAGTATGGTGGCTGATGCCTCTCACTGGATTGACTGCCTGCTAATCTCGTTTGGCTTTCTTCCCTGTAGTGAATTTTTTGGCTATTCCTTAAAGCTCGTATTTCCTATTCTAACCTTTACTTCTAGCACACTAAAAGCCTTTTCAGGGAATTACTTATTAATAAACTGGTCTGCTGGAGTAGATTTGTTTCAAATATATAAATTAAATTACTTCTTTAAGATAATCTAATGAATGATGCCTTTTTCTGTCTTGAATGGTTATGAAGTGTTCAGATTCATTAATGCTAACCATAACAACAAAGTTAACAAAAAAAAAATCAACTGCAGTAGTCATACTGAGTGATTTTTTTAAAAAGTTATTATACACAAATTTTGGAACCTTATTTAGCCTCTGTCTCTACACCATGGCTAATATATTGAAGGATTTCCCTCTACTTAAATGCAGTTCTGCATTTATTCAAACTACTCACAATTTTAAATTTATTTTTAAAAATTGGCAATAAATGTCTAGGATTAGTTGGAAAAAGATTCATTCATTTCCTCTCTCCTACTCAGAACTCCTACTCCAACATAGGAGTGAAAGAGGCTACAAGTTGTCTTCCTAGAGTCAACAGTCTTAGAAACTCAATTCATGGTACAAGGCTCCAAGCTAAACAAGGAGTGGGTAAAACTAAGACACTATAAATTTGGGGAGGTTTGTTTTATGTTGGGAACAAAGAAAGCTGTGACTTAGTTTACCCTTTGCCAGTGTTAACCACAGTTAAAAGAGTTTCCTTTGATACCCTTTGTTTCCAAAGCTACTTTACTAAACTGTGGAGTTATCTTTTTGCTAGACAAAGACGAATGCTCCAAGGATAATGGTGGGTGTCAACATGAATGTGTCAACACAATGGGAAGCTACATGTGTCAGTGCCGTAATGGATTTGTGCTGCATGAAAATAAACATGACTGCAAGGAAGGTATGAAAGAGTGTTCTTTTCTTAACATCTAGAATTGCATGTAGTTTCGGTAAAGCACTGCTTCCAAGTAGAGTTAATCATATCAATGAGTGATATCATTGTTGACTGTTCAAATGTCAAAAAAAATATGTGCAGCATTCAGAGATACAAGGCATACTATTGGAACTTCATAATACCTAAAGGTTCTGCACTTCACACATGGGTGACATTAGAATAACTTTGTGTAACAGACATCGGAGTGGCTATGATGCCATCTGGCAGCCAGAAAAGCACCACATTATCCCCAGGTTCTTGTAGCACAGACCCTATGACAGTCTCCATATTTAAACTTGACTTCTGCTAAATGTTTTGCATTTGGTTTAATTTCCCTCCCCAGAATATCATATATGTGCTACATGAGTGATGGCACTTTAAATACCAAGAGTATCAAACTCAAATGCCTACCAGAGGAAAGACATTTGGAAAATGGTAGATACTGTGCCATTTAAAGTTCTAAGTCATGGGTTTGGCCAAAAAAAAAAAGGAGCATTCTAATAGCACAATAGTAGGCTATCAGTTTTTGACCCCTAGGCCTTATAATATTCTGATTTTATAAAAAAACAGTTATCTTTATCTCCTTAGCCAGTATGAGGTAGATGGGAACAAGAAATAGTTACTCAGTTCTTATTTCATCCTTTGAGGATTTGCTCCTGAATTTTCTACTTAAATTGGATTTATGCCCATTTTGAAAGAATTACTATAGCAGATTTTATAACTTTAGTTATTAGCACATGTAGATTGGTAGGTCCCTGGCTGGAATCACAGTTAGATAGCAGCTCTTTGTATGAACATTGGATTAGTACAGGATATCCTGAACTAACTCTTGTTCCATTCACTTCCTTTCAAATATTGTCATATGTCAGTTTTTTTCAATTTTTTCATTGAGCCAATGATATTGCTCAGAATCATATGCCAGCAGAATTTTTTTTCGCTCTTTTAAGTTTCTTATGTGAGGATAAACCCATGAGGACTCCGATATTTGTAACTAGTACAGTATTCTGTTAAATCAACAGGCTGGGGAATAGTCATGCAGTTATAGAAGATAATTCAGAGAAAAAAGAGACAGCTTTTGTAAAGTATGCATATACCCTGTGGCTCACAAGTAACAAATATGTTAGATACCTTAATTCTTTGTTTATTACAGTAAATATTTTCAAGAAAGGATTTCATAGGAAACTTGCTTTTAGATAGAACGATATTTAGGTATCCCTAATAAATCTCATTTTTACTGCCAGTAAGGGGTTAGGATTTTTTTTTTACCTCTGCTATCATATGGACACCTTCTACAATTTAGTAGCAAGCCTCTTGGCTTTGTTTTATAGGCTGTTTCCAGATCCTGGAGACTCCATATTTCATATGGCAAAGCAGGGACAGGAATAATGGAACTTAGAAAACTGTTAGGATCTAGATTCTAAGACTTGCTACATGATCCTACATTGTTTGAAAGGAGCTGAATTTCTTCTCTTTTTTGTATTCCTATGCTAGGAGTCCAAATCTCCCTATGGAAACCTACCACAAGTAAGAGAAAGATCTAGTAGTAGGGAATGCAACAACAGCACATTTATGTTGGGCATCATACCCTTATTGCACAGTCCTGCAGTGTAACAGGTGTTTTGTCCATATAGTAAAGAGTTGCCCCAAAGAGATTTCTTGGAAAATATCAGAGAATTAGTTGTGTTTTAGAATGGGATACATAATACACAATAAATAATTCCCAGTCTAAACTAGGATGTGTAGGGGGCTGCTTCATAAGTTACAGAGAATGGACAGAGCCTGAGGATATTAAATATTTTTTTGACATTAAACATTTTTGAAGTGTGATATTTACAATGTAGAATAGTCTCCTTTAAGCTAAGGTAATTTTAATTGTGAAAAACCTAAAAGAAATTTCATATTAATTGAATGAAATAGCCTTCAAAATTAGTTTAGAAGCTATTTCCATGGCTAGTAGCTGTTCATTTATTTTTCCCCTTAGTGCTGCATTTTACTTTGATAAAATTAAGGATTAATTTACTTTAACAGCTAAAATTATGGTTTAGGTATCCACATGTTTACTTTAAGGGTGAGAGAAAATGTAAATACATGATCCATAAAATGGCTTAATGATGTTAATTAGCTATAGATGTTTCTGCTAATGGAAAAATATGAATTGAAAGTGGCATATCCATTGATTATCATTTGTGACATTGCATTAAGTATTTTGCACATGCCAAGTGTTAATATCCTCGATTGTCAATATATGTTGCTCTGTTAAAATCTGAGCTTTCAGATCCAGCAGTTTAAACTAGTCCATTTTCTTTTAGGCATTTATCTAATTCATTGTAAACGCTTAATTTCATGTGAGCAAAAAAATAAACATTGCCTGATTATGATCTACAACATGTTTGCCAAAGCAGATGACTATGATAACAGACACTGGAGTGGTGATTAGTTAGTATTCAGGAAAATCTTTTCAGCAGCATAGGGAGCAAATAGGCTACTTTCTTGCTGAACCAATCCTGGGCTGGATTTCCATACTGACTGCTATTATTGTTACTGGCACAGCTGAGTGTGAACAGAAGATCCACAGTCCAAGTGGCTTCATCACCAGCCCCAACTGGCCAGACAAGTACCCAAGCAGGAAGGAATGCACATGGGAAATCAGTACCACTCCTGGCCACCGAATCAAATTAGTAAGTGAGCTCGTCCTTCTTCTTTCTGTTAAACTGACTGCCCTTGTCTTTCATGGCCAGCACATGGAAATAAAGTGAATGTTTATTCAATTGAATTGAATTAGTGGGCAGCTGGAAAAGATTTTCTTTCTTATGCTTTCCTACTTACACTAAACAAATCCCTGATTTCCTAGATCAAGATGACAGTAATGGCAGCCGTGCAGTTCTCATATGGTGTTCTTATCCCGGATGCTTTAAAAGGCATTACCAATGTTGCTGCAAAACAGTAGGCTCTCCCTCCTAACATGTTATTGGTCATAATGTTTCCAAGTGGGGAAATAAAGGAAGGAACAAAAAATCATCCGAAATTCAGCAAGAAAGAAATAAAATAACTATTCATATAAACAGAGCATAGTACTGGTTGTGTCAATTCTATATATCTTAAAGACAAAATGCATGTATTTTTTATAAAACAATGTTGTCTTGTAACAAGTCATTTTTGCATAACATAGTTGCCTTCCTTAGACGGATACTGGTATCTTTAGACTTCCCCTAAATTCACATGTGAATGTAATGTTTGTCCTTCCTCCTGTGTTCTCTGTCTTGCGTTCTGTCCTGATCATCTGGTAATATATATTGTTTCATTATAGCCTGCAGAGTACTTGAAGAGTATAATGTAAGGAAATAATCATAAGAATACAGAAATTTTAACAATTTCCCTTAACATGCTGTTGTCAAAAGCAGGAGGGAATGCCAACCAGCAAGGCTCAGGACAGTCTAGTGGCACCATAATAAAGGACAAGACATTGTCTTGAGAAAGAGGCTACCGGTCTGCATATGGTAGCTTACTGGACCAGTCCAGCCATGAGGTTAATTTTAAAACTTTGTTTTTAAACTTTCTTTTCAGTGAATTTGGTGGGGTGGAGGAGAAGCATTACTTATGTGTGGCATTATAATAATAAAATTAGAGAATGTCACCAAGACGTTCATAGCCATCTTATGGAGTTTCTTGCAATCACTGTATTTGTAAAATATCAGTAACTGACTTTCCAAACAGAGACGTCAATTTATTTCAGCCACTCTTTGGAAGGAAGCTAGGTGAAGAGATGACAGTATTGTGGGAACAGGATTATTTGGCAGTCCTATCCAAGGTCCTGATTGAGAGGACCATTCTGAGGCTTATGGGCTACGTTCTTTTTAGCAGTAGCTAAAGAAATTGGAAAAATAGATTTTTCTGAAGACATTGTATTTTGTAGATCCACATTTTGTCTGCATTACATTCCTTCTGTCTGAAGACAGATTTCTTCTATATTTTGTGTAGGGTATGTCTGTGCAGTACCACTATTTAAGGATATTTTCATTGGGTATAAAATTCTAGGATGACAATTTTATTTTCTTGTCTATAACACTACTCCATTATTTTCTGGCTTTCATGGTTTCTCATAAGCCTGTTATAAATCTTATATTTATTCCTTTTTTCCTATTGTTATCTTCATTTTTTTAATCAGAAGTTTGAATATAATGTATCTATGTGTGTGTGTGTTTAGAAATTTTGTGGGATTTATTCTTCTCAAAATTCTCTGAATTTCTTGCATCTGTATTATGATGTTTGTTAGAAATTTCTGAAAATTCTCTGCCATTATTTCTTCACAAAATTCTTTTTTACTATTGTCTCTCCTTTCTTTCTGAGATTCAAATTGTACATATGCTAGACTGTTTTATATTATACCATAACTCTTGGATGCTCTGTTATTTTTTTGTCACTCTTCTTGAGTCTGAGTTTGCATAAATTTCTGTGGACCTATCTTCAAGTTCAGTGATTGTTTCTTTGGCTGTCTTGAGTCGCCTTGATGAACTTATTAACACATTCTTTATTCCTCTTACCATGTTTATTTCTAGCATGTTCATTTGATTCATTATTACAACTTTCGTGTTTATTAATTTGCTTAGGTTGCCAAAACAAAATACCATAGACTGAGTGGCTAAAACAAAAACAAAATATTTTCTTACAGTTTTGGAGGCTAGAAGTTCAAGATCAACGTGCTGTCTGGTAATGCCTCATCTCCTGGCTTGTAGATGGCTACTTTGTTGTTATATACTCACATGGCCTCTCCTCCCTGTGTGCACAGAGTAAGCTCTGGTGTCGCCTGTCCACTTCTTAAGTGTCTCCAGAGGCAGACGTAGTTTATTTTGGGGTTTTGTTGTTGTTGTTGTTTTGCCCTTCGCCTGGCTACAGTGGGTCTGTATCTTTGCCCTGTGGTGACAGGGTTTTCTTTCCTTCTTCCAGGAGCTTAAGTTTTGTTTTCTAGAGAAAGGTTACATCAGGGCTTCATATTTTTCTCATAGCAGTAACCACTTCGCTTCTCCAAGCCTGCAACACTGAGGAAGGCGATTGGCCTTCTCCTGCTCTACCCATGATTTTCCTCATGAACAGGAGATTGGGGTCCAGGGAGAAGAGCTTGCAAGTGGGTTCTAATACCCCCTGTGTCTTCAGCTCCCAGGGTCTCTGTTCTTTTACTCTAGTCCATACCTGACTTCTACCAGTTTATTAAAAATTATAGCTGGATACTTCTTGCCTGGTTGTATGGCACCCAGCATCTCTTCCTTCCATGGTCTGTCACTGATGAACAGGAGGTTGTGTCTCATTTCTCCTTGGAGGGGGCTGAGATTCAGTGCATTTCATATTACTTGGTTGACTAGTGACTTCAGCTCTTTGATGTGTTCAGTGAGGTTGTGATTTTTAAAGTTTACATGGGTTTTTCTTGTTGTTGGGGTAGAAACAACAATAGTTCCAGCTCTCTATACCCAAGGGGAAGTAGAACTCCTGATATACCCCAGTTTTAAAAATGACAATATTTTATTCTTTCTTAGTTTTATATCTTTTAGCTTATTGAACTCCCCTTCCAACTCTAGGACAGTCTGTTCTTTCACAAATTGCAAGCTTTAATTTTCATGCAAATATTCCACTAAGGTCAGGACATAAAGCATGTCTGTCAACAGTGGTCATGCTTACTAGTATCCTAAGAAGGAAATTCGCAGAAAGAAAAAAAAAAAAGCTTTAAGCAAATATTGATCTTTAAGTATTTGATTTTATGATCTTTGTGGAAGTCATTACAGTCTAAGCCCTAGGCTTTCTCAAATATTAGCATGCATCAAAATTACCTGGAAGCCTTGTTAAAGCACATCACTTCACCCCAAAGTTTCTAAATTGAAACACAATACTGATTCCCACTTTATTATCCCGTTAATTATGTTCATATAAAACCTCTCAATACACTCTAATACACTCTAAGAGTTAGGATCACTGGAAAGTGTGTCATGAGATTAGCTACCAACTTCAAGTGATATTTTAGTTCTATATATTTTAATTCTTACCATCTCAATGTTGTTGCTATGTCTACTATCATTGTCTTCCTGCTTATTGTGTAACTGCTAACTAATCTTATCTACTTTAAAACTGAAATTGCTGTTTATAGCAGATATCAGCCAATGGATATTTGGCCAACCCTATTTATAATTCCAATTCAAACCATTCACTCACCTTTCTATGTAGTTAGACATTTATTGTATAGCAAATGTTACCAAAGAGATATGTTGTTCAAGATATATGCATTTTGCCTGGTTTCTTTAGGATCCTTAATTTTCATGGAAGAACTTGAACCCAAACTGAATTTGGAAAATAGATTCCCAAAGGAAACTTGGAAAATTATTAAGTCTTTTAGTATCCTTAGGCCAAGAGCTGCTGATAGATACTTGGCTACAAGTTAGTCTCTTTATGGGCCAGGGCAAAGAGAGAAGGCAAAGAAAACATTTGACCTTTTCCTACACCATGGAGCTTTCTTTACAACTCACATATTGTTACCCCTCTTTACTTAGGCTCTATGGAAAAATAATGAAACATTTCTAAATATTTTATCTATTCATATCGAAAGCAAAAGAAAGGAAATTGTTCCTAAAGACAATTTCATGAGTTATAAAGAAAACCACCTTGCTCGTGAATTTTAAGGGGCTTACTGTTCTTTCTAACACAAATATTCTTTTACCTTGATAGAGAGTTGTGTTGGGTGACATGCAAGTAGTGGTTTGTGGGTGAAACAAGTCTTTCACTATGTCTTGGATAACCATATTTTAGTTAATTTGGTTGACTTGTAAGACTACAAATATCACAGTTATTTAGATAATGTGCAATTATGGAGGTAAAGGACTTAAAATAAAATTCAGTGCCCTTTGAGCGATATGAGCATTTTTGTGCATAGTATTTATTTACCATAAGTATATTCAGTTCATGATGTGATTATCCATATCTAGTGTCTATTATTGTACAATAATGTAAGGACTGAAGTATAAGTAGTGGTCAGCTTATTATGGAATTACAGAAATTTAAGACTTTTGGCAGTATAATACAACTATTCTTTTTTATGCACTGTTTTAATTATCTATTGCTTTATAACAAACTAACCCAAAACCTCGTGGCTTAAAGCAAGCACCATTTTATTATATCCCGTGGTTTGGGGAGAAAGACGGTCATGATTTCAGTAGTGCTTTCCTGAATATTCTGTTGCCCATGGCATTGATTGAGGTCAGTGATATTCACCTGGGTATGGTCTGGTTTGGAGGGTCAAGGTCGCTTTAATTGTATATCCGTCATCTTGGTGGAGAGGGCTAGAAGGTAATCTCAGGTGGGACAACCAGAGTACCTACACACCATCATTCTGGCCTGGTGGTCTCAGAACCTTCCTATGGTAGTACTGGGTCCCCAAAGAGAGTATTTCAGGAGGCCCAGGAAGATGCCACAGAAGCCCCTGAATGTTACCTCCTCACACCCTACTGGTTAAGGAAATTACAAAGGCTGGTCTGGAATCAAGGGGAAGAGAATTAGGCTTCATCTCAATGGGGAGAGTAGCGGAGAATACATAGTCATCTTTAATCTCACCCATGCATTTAAATATGTAAGACTGCACATATTTTCTGAAAGTAAATGTAACACCAGTGAGTTACTGCTTATACTGTCCTGACAGATT